ACTAACCACTACTAACCACTACTAACTACTACTAACTATTACTAACCAACTAGCCAGCTAAGTAGCTAACTAACTAGCTAATTAAATAACTAACTAACTAACTACCTAACTAACAAACACCACTGCTGCTGCTGCTGCTACTACCGCTACTGCTACTGCTACTGCTACGGCTACTGCTGCTTCTAATTCTGGTGGTAGGGCTGGTGCTAGGGCCACTGCTGCTGCTGGTGTTGTCATTATGTTTTATCATTTTCTTCATCAGCACGACATCATCATCCCATCATCATTGTCATAGTCACTGTGTACTTACGACCAGGATTTGTAGTAGCAGTTGCCGCCTCTCTCTCAGGGCTGCTATTCATGCAGGTTGTCTTGCAATCATTGCCTTGTTTACCGTGACCCAAGGGTTGAACATTCTGACACTTTGCCATCTCGGAACACAGGGGTGGGTGCTGTATGTGTGTGTGTGTGTGTCTTTTTGGGCTTCAGGGTTTAAAGCATTAGGCCCTCAATGAAAACAGCTCCCGGCAGCATCTTCAAACTATGGTACAACTTCCAAATACCTTAGAGCCCGTAGCACCCGAAGTCCTCCGACAGGTCGGACAAGCTGTCACCGGGCAGCGCATTTGACTTGAGAGCAGTCCTCTTCCTGGCAGGTTTGGAGGCATTAGGATCCCTGTATGACTTTTGGATCTTTCCCTGGGCATATCAATTAACAGGAAAGCGTGTCGTGCAACTATGCTTCTATATAATATGTTATAATGTGTATATATTTATATGTATGTATGTATGTATGTATGTATGTATGTATGTTGATGTATATATGTATATAAGCATTCATGTATATGGGTATGTATGTATTCATATATGTACATATGTATATATATATATGTGTGTGTGTGTGTTTATACATATACATACCTGTGTGTATGAACATGCGTGCACGCTTTGGCCTACTTATTTGTTTGTTTCTGGGATGCACATGCGGCAATGCATGCATATATGGATGTCTTTGCATGCTTGCCGCATTCATGCATGCATGCATGTATGAAGTGTAATGTACTGTATGTAACGTACAGAACTTATGTCCGTCTATCTACCTGCCTGCCTGCTTGGCTGGCTGGCTGACTGTCTGCCTGTCTGTGTATGGTGCATGTAATGTATGTATGATTGTGTACGTATGTAGGTATATGTATGTATGCATGTATGAATCGATGTCTATGTCTCTGTATATGTATATTTATGTGTATATGTATATGTATATGTATACGTATATGTATGGCTATGTATGTATGTATGTATGTATGTATGTATGTATGGCTATGTATGCATGCAATGTAATGTAATGTAATGTAATCTAATGTAATGTAATGTATGGCTGTAGGGTTGTATGGTTGTATGGTTGTGTCTTATATATATATATATATATACATACATACATACATACATACATACATACATACATACATACATACATGTAATGTGTGTGCTGGCTGGCCCTGTCTGGCTACCTGACTGCCTGACTGCCTGCCCTTCCGTTAGTGTGTCCGTTTGTGTGTGTTTGTGTGTGTTTGTGCTTGTATATGCATGCACGCATGTATGTCTTTGGTGTTGTTTGTGGTTATGTTGCTGGGTGTCTATGCAGGCAGCTATGCAGGTGGGTGGAGACACGTCTGACTTCCATAGTAGGGTCGAGGATGATCTGAGATTTGTTGGGGGTCTTTAAGCGGCAGTGTCGGTTTATAGGTCGAGGGTTTAATTGATCAAACCTGCTGTGGCGGAGGAATTTTGTAGGATGGTCGAAGGAAAGGCTGCTATGTGCAGGTCGACCGAGAGAAGCACCTCACAGTCCCCTTTGCCGTACTCCCGGCTGTTCGCAATGGTGCACAGTGGGACTTGGGCTACCACAGGGTACAGGCATGGAACCTGAAGCCTCAAACTCGACAGCAATGTAGGTTCCGCATTCAGCATGCATTTCTCACAATCCCTTAGCCCAGCAACTCTGGGATACGTTTGCAGCTGTGGTCTAGAGAACGGCAGATTGCTTGGTGCATTGTGAGGTGGGCAAGCCTCATGGCAGGTTTGGGGCACGCTCCCGCCTCCCAAACTGTTTGTCAAGGTTTAACCTGCAGTGTCCTGCCACGACGTGCAGAGAAAAGCTGACGTGAAGGGCTTTCGAGTTTGGTATTATCGATGTCGACACCATAAACCGGCAGCCAGTCGGAATCGCCATAGGGAGGAGCAGAGCGGTGTAAAATCCGAAGTGCTCAGAACCATAACCTTTTCCAACTCTCCGACTCTAGCGCTGCGGTCGAAAGCCTCCCCGCTCATGTTCCCCACCATTCTGAGACAGTCACGTTGCGCTTAAAGTCGGTTTAGGCTTGCGCTGCTGTGCCTTGCAAGTATCGACTGTCCCGGGGAATGGGCATCTTCCTGCCCAGTCACGAGGTCTCGCGCAACTTCACAGTACAAGGCTGTTCAACACTGAATTCAAAAAAGTTTCCTGAATTTGCAAAATATCCCCCACACGAGGTCCTTTATGCACGGACCCACGAAAAGGTTACTTCAAGTCACATAACTGCAGAACCCAGATCCTGCTGACAACCGAAATCATCCGAAATCAAGTGGGAACCAGGCTCCTTATCACCATCGATGAGCCGCTGTAGGATGAAAACTTTCGAGCCGATATTCGGATTCAGATCTTGAGGACATCGGCTTGTCCAATCAACCCTTTACATCACCAAACCCTGCTCTCTAGTTCAGCGCGCCGGGACATCGTAGTTTGAGGCCTTGGAGGCTCGCTTATGGGTCGCAGCTTCCCCGAAAGTGCAGCCCCTTCCTCTGCCAGGCTCAAACGCCGATTTAAGGATTCTGGATAGATTGGTGTTAGTGGCAGTTTATGGTTTCAGCATCCCCCACGGCTGATGGTCGAGGTTTGTACCACAGACGCCGTTTATCCTTGGACTAAGACGAACGCTTCCACCCCAACGTCTTACGGCGAAGTCCCCCGGACTCCCGAGCCCGAATTTCGTGTCCCGACTTCCCAACAAAAGGGCCTCAACTCGAATCCTCCTGAAATTAAAGCTGGAGTGACTCACCTCCTGCAGCCCAGCCATGCACCCCCGTATTTGGCACCTTTGGCTTTGGGCTGCTGCTACCTGGTCTCCGCTGTCCTGCACAGAGACTTCTTGCCGCTGTGCAGCGACAGTAGAAACATAGGACCAAAGCAAAAGCAACGACAGTATCAGTAGTCAGCGCAAGAACTCACGCAGTAGTACAACGCTGATCACTCCTTCTATCGAGAGCCTGTAGCTGCTGGAATTCCATGATGTTCGGTGTCATTATAAAAGACTACTGATCGGCACGATAGTCGTACGAGTGCACTGACGAACGTTTCTCTGGTGCTTGGCGGGCCAGGGCTCCGGACTTCAGCTCTTCGGACTGTCTTTGTGTCTCGATGTCGGTCTTGGAGTTTGTAGGACGACGGGGTCAGCTGCCAGACGGCGGCCCTGCACTCTGCACTCAGGACAAGAAGCTAAGGACAAGGGAAGAGAGAAAGAGAGAGAGAGAGAGAGAGATGCACACAGTGGCGTAGCGCGAGTGCGCAGGGGCAGTGGGGGGAACTCCACGCCCCAAACGCCCCGCAAGCAAGCAAGCAACATGGATGTGCAGCGAGTGCAAGCACATATGACAAGTGCGAGAAGGGAACTTACACCAGACAACCGACGACAGTGACGATGAAGGGGGACGACAACCATATACATGCAGTTTTTGGACCACCTCGCTGTGTCCGTGGCAACTACGCAAAAAGTTCTGAGCAACTGTCTGAGAAAGGCCCTGAGTTAAGGTGTGAACTTTTTATGTAGGCTCGTTAGCCTTCTCCGTTCAACTTGTACCTCGGGGACAGAGTGCCCTTAATCTTTGATTCTTTTCAACTCACCTTGGGAGCTCAAAACTTTCTAACCAACTTCGCAAGGCCCGATTAGCTCTTCGTTCCGTTCAAAGATAGTACCAAGTTCCTGCTCGTACGTAGCCGGGGGGGAAGACTGCGCGGTTTTGCCTTGCAACCCCGACCTGGAATCCCTCGGCCGATATCTGGGTCCCAGCCTTAGCATTTCATATTCCTGATTACCGCGGTGTTATTTGATTTGTTGTTTGCAATCAGCTGGGGGCCTCCCTTTTCTTTCAGTGGCCGTGCTTTGTAAAGCCGAGCCTGGGGGGCAAACCCCCTACCAGGAAGTTGAAAACCTGCCAAGACTTGCAGGTGTGCATTCGCGTGCGAGGGGAGGGGTGTCCGCCCCTTTCCTCTTGCCTGGTAGAGAGAGAGAGAGGGAGAGAAAAACAACAAAACAACTTGGTAGGCAGCTTTGACTCCGGAGCCGATTTCCGATAGACTATGTGTCAGGGGGAAAGCTTGTCACCGCAAATAATTTATTCCCCTCTCTGCCCGTTGACAGCGGTCTTCTTTTCACACCCACAGCGCCACAAGCACGGGCAGGCCTGGCGCCCTAACATTTGACACGTCCCCCATGCCCGGGAGACAGCGAGAGAGAGAGGGAAAAAAACAAAGTCAGCGACAGAGACGGATAGAAGTCATAGAACGCAGCAACACGCAGAGAGGAAACTCTTCCAGTTTTGAGGTTTCTGACCTAGGGTTGCGTTTTCACTGTTTTTTGCAGTCGTGTCGCTAGAGGGATAGGATAAACATCTTGACGGGAATGTAGTAATAGACAAGCTGATTTGAAGCAGGGTCTTGGTGAGTCTGCATTACGGTCCTTATTACAATTGCTCATTTCTTTTGGTGTTCTTTTTGGGTACTCCCCTTGAGATCGCATATCTTATGGCGAGACCGAATCCCAAAGCCACTCTTCGGAAGCGTTAGACTCTCTGCGGTAGCGGCTGAGGAGATGGTCTTTTCATTCTGCGCTAGGTCTCGGATTACCTACGTCCCATGCTCTGCAGTACTGCTACTAAGGTTTCAGGCCCCCTGGAACTTGGCTCTCGTGCGAGTTGCTTACAGTCTCGTTCGGGTTTGGGCATATACGCTGTTGAGCTTGGAGGGCTAACAGGCTACTGCGGCTACGCAGCTTTGGGAAAGGCTCTGTGCTTTTGGACTTGGGAGTTTCACTTTTAGGGCTTCTTGGGAGAAAGCGGATGCAGAGACCAGAGATCAGGTGGGCAGGATGAAGACCAACACTGCCTCCTGCAGTCTGCTTCGTCATTGGCTCCAGAGCAAAGCTCGAGCCAGGCGCGCAATCACCGATTCGGCTGGAATGCGGGAGTGAGTCGCGCAGTGCGAAGCGTAGGAGTCAAGTCTGGCTATTTACTTGTTGTGTGGTTCATACATTGACATGACCTGTATAGTGAAGTTCAAGGCACAAGTATCATAAGCAGGGTTGCAGTCGCAGAACCTGGGCTGGCTCGTCCGCCGTTTTGTTGCACAAGTTCTCGTGCTTATAGTTTAGAATTGAGGATTCGGGCGGCTCCTAGAATTGTTTGCTTGAGGATGTTGGCTTGTTGGCACGCGATGCATGGTTTCGCCGTAGCGGTTGCGTGCTTGCCCAGCCACTTGCTCACTCAATCCTACTCCAAACTGTTCTCTAAACTCTAGACTGTAAATTCTACCACAAGCAAACCCCCCATGAACCATCCCTTTACCTTCACCCAGCTTTAAACTAACACGGAACGCCATATGGCCTTCTTCTTTATAAAGGGCAGCAGTCTGCATGGGACCTTTTTCAGGATCCGAGCCAGTTTCAAGAACGTGAACCTATGCAGGTGTGTATATTGTGCCGTGTTGACATAGCCGCAGAGGACCCCCCCCTTCCTTGCAGGCCCGTGCATGGGGATCCCAACGCTGCCGAGAAGCCCTCTAGAGCCTCTACACGGGTGTTTGGGATCTTCGAACTACGGAGCAGGGACTCCGTGGTTGCGAGAAGGCATAGGGTCACGTTTGCCGGTTCAGAGTGCAGGCTCTCGGGTCAGGATAAGACGGTTAAGCGGCGAGGCTTCAGGGTAAAGGTGTTGGTTGCAGGCTGTCGGATTTAAGATCTGGCACACCAGGACCCAGCGTATGACATCCGGGATTTGAGACCGAGAACGCCCAAACGGCGACGTCGAGGGCTCGATCTCGAATCCTGGCTTTTGCTGATTCATATACACAAACACAGTGCTAGATTTACATGTCAGTGCAATGGTTGACTGCGCAGATTTAGGATGGGGACTGTAGGGGTTTCGGGCTGAAGGTAAAGTGCGTGTTTTTTTTGTGTGTGCTTTGTAGTTTTTTTCTGTCATGGCTAGCATATTCGTTCATGTTCATCGGCGTCCTCGTCCATCGTCACATGGATCGGTCTTGCTCCTAACTGCGATGTGGCTTGGCTTGTTCAAACTCGAGAAACATTTTTTTCCTGGCAGTTGTTATAGCTTCTGTCCTCCGTACACAACTCCGAGTGAATTCAAGACGTTCGAACGTTTTGGCAGCTGAAAGCTTCGGAAACACTACTGCTGTTTTGTTCCCCTAACTGCGCACTACCGAGCCACAGCCTAAACCCAACAACTCTGACCTTAGGCTAAACTTAGACCGTATGCCTCTACCCTAAGTTCTAGCATCTTCACGCCAGACTGTGTCAGCTGTGGTCGGCATGGCAAAGACGATGCCGACGATGAATGTAACGACGCGGATAAGGATGAGGATGACGGGTGACTGACTGGCCGTGGTGACCATCCTCCCCACATATTGACACATACGCACAAAGACATCAGGGTTTAAATGTCGGCATCCGGGCGTGGTACACAGTCGTAGAGTCTAGATGTTTGATGAGGCTTCCAAGGTTTAGGGTCGTCTCGCGATCTGCGGTAGGTTCGCAGGGGCATTGAGGCATTGATTGTAATGGCCGGACAGTGTGCAATTTGAACTTGAACCTGAACCGAAAAGATGCCCGGATGATTGTGCACAGAGTTTTCGGGCTTGCATGACGGGCATGGCTGCGCGGCATGGTGTACCGAGGATGTCAGCAAAAGCGACCGAGAAGCTTTGCACAGATTAGGACATGGATGGCCAAAGGTTCATCCAGGGCGGCCCCGGGTTTGAATGTTGATTGGCTGTTAGGGTTCGTCTGGTTTTGGGATGTGTTGTCGAACTTGATTTTGTTCGTTGCCGGATGTGTTGAGGCGCTTGCGTTGAGGTTTGAGGACGGACATGCAACAGGCACCAACAGGCACGGGTGATGGGTGGAGTCTGGTGCAGCAATCCCCAAACTTCCCGAAGCATAATCTTCGCTTGCATGCATGGGTGTAGGGGGTTAAGGTGTCTGGCGGTGGGATTCAGGCTCGGATGTTTCTGGATCCGGGGTCGTTCAGGTCTCTTCAGATCTGAACTAGTGGGCGCTGCTACAGATTGAGGCTTCATGTGAAAGGATGTTGGAAATCAATGTAAGACTGCAGCCAACCTAGTCCTCGACAGCAAATGAACTCTCCGTCAGACCCCAGAATCTTGAAGACAAGCGGCTCTAGCACAGATAAACGAGAAACCCAATCTCTATGTGGAGTTCTCAATGTGGAGTGCAACTTCAAAGTGTTGATGAGGTCAGAGTTGGGGTCTTCACACCGGGGGCGGTTGGGTCAGCAGGCAATGGGGCTGCGGGCCTCGGAATCACTGAACTTGAAACCACAAAGCCCCGCAAAGCCACCTCGAAGCCCCACTCGCGCCAAGGATGGCTTCCGGGCGAGAGGCAACCTCATCAGAGATTTGGGTTGCTGGCCTCTGGATCCGGAGGACATGCACGGGCCTGTGGGTTTGCATGGCAATGTCTATACAGACCTAAATCATGAGGCAAAGCTCTTTTTTGTTGTTTGTTGGAGGGGGGAGGGGCGGGTGGTACTGCTTCAATCATTGTTTGACCTTGGGTTCAGATGTATGGGTCTGGGTGGAAGGGGTGCAGGAGCTCCCGCTCTGGTTTCCTGCGCCATCTCCGCAGCGGAGCACATTGCACCAACCATTTGTTTGAGCCGGTACAAGAAGTCGGTACTTCGGGTGGCGGGGAGTGTGGGGGCTAACTCGCATCACTGTGAACAAATACACATCAATAAACGTCCATGCTAGGGCTCAGCATTTCGGATCCGGACCTGGCATGCAACCGACTGAACATCCGCCGGTTGAATTCAATTTGTTCGTTCATTCATGCATGCGCGCACGCATGAACGCATGCACTCAGTCACTCATTCATATATGTGACCTCCGGGTGTGTTCGGGCAGCAAGATCAACCAACGTTCAGTGTGTGCATCTCGGCGGGTTTCGGCAAACAACGGGCTTCGACGCAGATCTCGGGGGTGATCATGGGTGTGATCGGCCAGTTGCAAAGAATCGAAAATCAACGCTCCGCACGCCCATCTCGGCAGGTTCGGCCCAGCCGCGGTAACAGCAGAGCAACAACAAAGCATGCAACAACCTGCTTCCGCAACACATTCAACAAAGAGCAAACAGTGGCGAAAGAAACAACGATTTCGGAAGCTTGATTCGCGAAGCCTGGATGGTACCAGTGGCCGCTCCAGTGCCCAGCTCTTCTCGAGCTTCTCAGCCAGCAGGGCTCGAGGTCCTTTCGCGGAGAGGTACGCTTCTTTGCATGTTCGTGTTTTCCGTCAGGCGTTCTCGTGAAGTGAAGCTACCGGTACAGTCGTGTCACTTAGCCTCCAGGGCGCAGGGTTTCGCTCAAACTGCTCTGAGTCGAAGGACGAGGATGGGCGACAGGACGCCACCTTTCATGACAGGACGTGTGCTCCTTGCTGCAATTGTGGCTTGTAATGGGTATATTACCGGTCTTCTGCAGCTACACGAAGAACTTGAAAGCAGATGCAAGATTTGTAGTTCGTCAGAGGGCATCGGATGATTCGACGCGGCTTTCATTGCAGCCTATGTCTCACAGACTTTGGCCTGAACCTGCGGCAGTGTAAGTTGTATCGTCAATCCCGGCACACACACGGAGACAGCAAGCACGTAGTAAACTTAACAACTTAAGTCCTGATCGAAACCTGGAAGTCTGAATTCAACCCCAAACCAGAAAATCCCAAAGCCAAACTAGATCCCAACTCATGCTCAGGTTCATTACAAGGGGCCCGGCCGATGTCGGTCTGGCTTTCCGTTTTTCCGCTTCGCAATGCCACAAGGCTGGGGGGTTGCTGGTGTTGGGGTGCCGTTATTGCTAGGGTTGGGGTGAGCAGATGTGAGCAGGGGGTTGTGTGGACACCTGGGGTGCTTGGGAATACAACTTAACACCACTGGTCAGATGGCCACAAGTGTTGAGTAATGGCAAGACTATTTCGGATAGTGATTCCGTAATTGCAACGCTGACGAAAGAGGAAGGGGTCAATGTGACGGGAGCTTAAGACAACGACGCGGATCCTGACAATTCAAGCAGTGTAGGATGTCAACCGCTAGCAAGTGCGACTGCTGGAGTGTAGAGTGCTAGACTTCTGCTTCCCAAATCACTGTTGAACCTGAGTGGACGGATGAATTGGGGCAAAGTGAATTGCAAGGTTTACAGCTCAAGAGGTGTTGAAGGTCAACAATCCTTGGAGAGTTAAGAGGTGAGGACCCAAGGTCTACGCCGAAGGCCTCACTCGACACTCGACAGCACTCCATGAGGCAAATGTTTTCAGTGCCGGTCTCTGGGTACTGGCATCCGTCCCTAAACGTCCAGAACCTGCTACACCCTCAAGCCGCAAGTGAGCACCCCTCCCCGGCCGCATGCTCTCTGCAGTCTATGCCGTCTATGCCCCAGAACCTCAAAGGACGGAAGCCCCTGTTTTTTGGGACTTCTTCGTTGGATCTTTACACTTGGTGGGTGGGCTCGTTTTTTATGCGCCGGCGTGAGCTGGTGCTCAGGTTTCTGCATATCTGGTTGTGGCTGAGGGGTTGTTCCAGGCACGAGGCCTGCATAGTCACTAGTCCTTCTGCCCTCAGACTCCGTCCCGATTTGTGTCTTTGGGATTTTGCTTTTAGTCGATACACCGCAAACACTGAGTTGTGCTATGCTTAAGAACTGCCACTTACGGTGTAGCTGCTACCACTACCATGACGACTGGTGCTGCTACTTATGCTGCGAGGGCGACGACGACGAGTGACGACGACTGCACTGTACCTCGTCCTGCTGCCGCTACCATTACCAGACCATGCCTACGACGACTGCTATAGTGTGTGCCACGAAGAAATTGTTAACAAACATGCAGATCACACACTTCTTGCTTTGAAC